AGTCTAAGCTAACATTGATTGGGAACAGCTTTGTAGAAATCTGCCAAACTGATTATGAGTGTTTGAGGAGTATATTTCACACTATATTGTCAAAACTACTCTTCATTGTGCTAGCGTCCAGTAAGCTTTTCAGGTATTTTGGTGCATTCAGAACTGGGCACCTGTTTTGTAGGTGAGCCAGCAACATGATCCTGCAGAGACAAGATGCAAAATATTTCTGACAGGCCAATTAAATCCCCTATTTCCCTTGTTCAATAATGTCTGGCAGTGAAAGTAGATCTCTTAATAAAAGACAGTGCTGGCTGTTCTAACGCTGGCTGGGAACCAAAGTAAGCCCATCTGTCAAATGTATTACGCTTTGCATCTATACCCTTTCAGAAACTTGGTAGATCTGTCTTCTGCTAACACAATTTCTCCATTTTTCACTCTGCTTCCAAACCAGTGTGGGCCACTCTACTTCGTTGTCTTGGTTCTGATTTCCCCAGATCAATCATGCATCAATTAATGTGGCCTTTAGCTAACTAACACCTCTGAGCCTCAGATCTCCATTTCTGAAGTGGTAAAAAAGAGTTACTTTCTTTATTGTAAGGGCCCCTTCAGATTTTTTTTTCATTGAGCGTTCATCATTATATGTGATCATGATGTTACTGGGGCAGTGATATGCTATCACACTTTCAATACCATTTGCGCCTGCAGAAGTTTCTGGGCAGCTAAATTGTTTATTTTGCAGTAGGTATATATGTTCAGTAGTTTCCTGCTAAAATCCTGTAATTTGTCAATAGTACAAATGCTCTGCTTTTGTTTATGCCGTGGTTCAAAAACGCTCCCTCCAGATGGCAATAATGTGGTTACTTTGGGGACGTATTGCAGAACAACTAAGAAAGTGGAATAAATGTGTCTATGGTCCTGTGTAAATCCATCTCTGATGCACTATTATTGCATCCATGACTTGTTTTAACTCATGTTTAGTCGTATTCTATGAGGGTCTCCTGTACACCGTTTGGAGTGATTAAGTGGTATAACCACAGATTGTTGAAATACATAAATAAATAGAAATGATGCAGAGTCCATAAGCAGAAAAACACCAGCCTGAAGGGACCCTAAGATTGTTACTGGTGTGACTGTGATAGGGAACAGCTACCTGCTCTGAATCCCCACAATTATACTAAAATGCCAGTAGTAACAACAACAACAACAACAACAATGGAGATTCGTACAAAACATTTTTTATTTTTTAAAAACCTTTCTGACAGTAAGAGCTGTTCGGCAGTGGAACAGACTCCCACGAGAGGTGGTGGACTCTCCTTCCTTGGAGGTTTTTAATTATTATTTTTTAAATGATATTTATTACTTTTTTAACATTTCCAACACAAACAAAAAAAGAAAAAAGAAAAAAAGAAAAAACAATGCAAATACAATACAAAAATGCTACATGGACTAAAAAAAACAAATAAAAACAAGCAAAAACAGTTTAAAATCACCTCAAACATTTTCAATATCTTATATTTCATTCACTTATTTCCAGCGACCTCCTCCCACCTCCCTTTTTGTATTCCACTTCTATTATTTGTTTCAGCAATTCCTTTCCATCTTACTCTGTTTTCTGTTCTATAATTATCTTAACACATTCTTGCCATACTTTTCCTCTAATTTTCTATTAATCTATTTATACCTAATTCCTTATGACATTTCTGCTAAAGCCATATAATTTCATTCCAACATTTTTCTAACATTCCTTAATTTTACAATATCTCTATAAATGGTCTTTAAACTTTTTCCAATCTTCTTCCACCGACTCTTCACCCTGGTCTCGGATCTTGCCAGTCATTTCCGCCAATTCCATATAGTCCATCAATTTCATCTGCCATTGTCCAACGCTTCAATGTTTTCAAAAAGCAACCATTCTCTCAACCAGCAAAAAGCAGATGGTTCACAGCAAAATTTAAAGGTCTGGCAGGGCAGGTCCTCCTCCTTCTTTGGCATCCATCAATATCTTAAGTTTTACTCGAGGCTTCCTGCCCTACCAAACAACTCTGGGAGCATCCCTCTGCCACCTCCTGAAACCCTCCATCCCATCCAAAGCTTGCAATGTTTGAAACAAAAGCAACATCCCCAACAACACAGCAACACCTTCCTTGGAGGTTTTTAAGCAGAGATTGGATGGCCACCTGTCAGGGATTATTTAGCAGTGATTCCTGCATTTCAAGGGGCTGGACTAGATGGCCCTTGGGGTCCCTTCCAACCCTAAGGTTCTATGATTCTAAATGCTTCTGGGAGCAAGGGTCTTGCAAGCGTGTGTGCTTTTACTTACTTGAGCGAAAATAAGCGGGCAGCTGAAATAAGTGAGCCTCATTATTTAAGGTGAAAGGAAAGGATGCTCTGGTGCAATTAAGGCTGACGAGGCAAAAGGCTGACAGCCATGGGAACAATGTGAGGTATTAATCATGTGCTAAAACAGTAATTGCCATCTCCTGTTCCCTTTGCATGGTCTTGCCACCCCCGTGCAACAGAAGGAAAATAATAATTATAAAAGAAACAGCCATTTGTCTTCGGGAAGATCTAGGTATCTGGTTCTTACTACATTCACAGCAGCAAACACAAAGTGGCTTGTGGAAGAGCTGGGCTTGAGGTCCTTTCTGGGAGCCTCCTATATGATGGGTGCATTGATGATAGCCTAGCTGCAGGGATATAGCCATTCTTAGCCCATCCTTTAAAATATGGTGTGCAATCATGTGCAGAAGTCATATAGCAAGGGGCATGCACACCAGCTGCATTTTAATAACTCCATTTAAAACACAAAATGAAACTTACATAGGACAAACAAAGGGCCATACAGAGAGCTGTGTGTGTTTATGTATGCATATACAAAGTTTTGTTTATTGTTTCTGGTCATGTCCTAAATAGCAATGGGGTGGGTTAATTCCTCCGGAGTTTTATTTGGAATCAGTTCAGTAATTACAGAGACTTCTTTCAGAAAACAACCTTTCCTGTTCTTAAAGCTAGCCCAGCAAACGATGTTGCCACCTGCACAAATTAGGAACAGCTCCTAATTCCAGTCATTTGTGAATTCGGTTTGAGAAATAGCACCTCAAACAGTTGCATCTTAGGACAAACTACAGGATACATAAGGGTTTTTGGGTAAAATTGTGTGAACAAAGAATAAAAACCCAGAGCTGAGTGCACAGTGGACAGGAGTGTGGACACAACCTGAGTTTGCAGAATGCACTATGCCTGCAACAGATGCGTCAACTTTGTGTGCAACAAATGAGAAACATGCACATTTATTAATTTTAAAAGGCAGCTTCCTTGGAAAGGCGCTACACAGTCATGCATCCTGGACAGTACAGTGGTACCTCGGGTTAAGAACTTAATTCGTTCTGGAGGTCCGTTCTTAACATGAAACTGTTCTTAACCTGAGGTACCACTTTAGCTAATGGGGCCTCCAGCTGCCGCTGCGCCAGCAGAGCACGATTTCTGTTCTCATCCTCAAGCAAAGTTCTTAACCCAAGGTACTATTTCTGGGTTAGCAGAGTCTGTAACCTGAAGCATCTGTAACCTGAAACGTCTGTAACCTGAGGTACCACTGTACATCCTTTCATCTTTATTGGTGCCTCTCTGCTTCCACCCGCTGGGATCCACGATTCCTTCTACTTTCATTTCAGGACTGAACCAATTTGCTATGTCTGACTTAAAAGGAGGAATAAGTGCTTTTCAACAGCTCAGCTGGCACTAGCTATTTACTTTGGGTCATGCAAAAAGCTCCCTTTTTACCCATTGCAATCCAGCTTTCTTGTTCAGGGCTTTGTCTGTTGCATCAGTTAAAACATGACCTCACAGATATAAACAACACCTTTTTATCTGTCCCTATTTTTCCAGGCCTAAGCAATCGCTTGCCGTACTTCGTAAATTATTTCTTCGACACATACCTGTTGATCAATGAAGATACGCCAGTGGGTAAGTGCATTGAGCTTTTATGTCTAATGAGTTAAATGGCATGGTTCACATCAAATTATCTTTGGCGGGAGTGGGGTGGGGGGTGAAGAAAGTCAAGAACGGCGACTCAGCATGTTGAGTTTAAAGGAGCTGCCTATAAAAGGCAAATAGATTCCCCCTCTAGAGCGTTAAAATGTGCACTGTCTTTGGTTGCTTTCAGAAGGCTGATAAAGATTCTGTTGATGAGGCTGTTGGTTTCAGTCTGATTAAAGCAAAATTAAACTGGATGCACTGTGAACAGGCCTATGATAATCTCTGAAGAAGAATCCCAAACGCTAGCGTGGATTTACTTACCCTGTTTCCCCCAAAATAAGACAGTGTCTTATATTAATTTTTGCTCCCAAAGATGCGCTAGGTCTTATTTTCAGGGGATGTCTTATTTTTCCATGAAGAAGAATATGGTACACATTTATTGTCTAATTGTGAGTCAGCCAGACTCCGTCAGGGCAGAGCGAGCAGCAGGCGGCTCTCTGATTTAAAGAGACCTCACACTGCCTGAACAGCTCCAGTTGCACTGCGGCCAATCAGTGAGCTGCGTGGTGTCACCTGCCTCTATGGTTCAGAGGAGTCAGACGCCTTACGGTAGCTTCGGGGGCCTTATATTCCGGGGAGGCCTTATGTTCGGGGGAGGCCTTATTATTGGGGAGGTCTTATTTTCAGGGGATGCCTTATATTACAGCGAGAGGCAAAACTGGAAGTAGGTCTTATTTTCGGGGGATGTCTTACTTTCGGGGAAAGACGGTAGTTCTGTTCCATGATCCTAGACTTCCATATTTTGCTAACGGTTTTGTTGTTGCAGGTTTATGTGCCCTCCGCCATTCACTTTTTAAAATTTATTTTTATGTATGGTGAAGCATTTTCTCTTCTTATCTATTCCGTCTGCAATGCAATATATTGTTGTATCTGGCAGTAGAGAACACCAGAGTTGAAATTAATTATTTTGACTGTACCTTACTACTATGTTTCTTGGTTCAGTCCAATAAGTTTCTTTAAAATAAAATGTGTGAGCTGGGATAGCTCAGTCAGTAGAGCATGAGACTCTTAATCTTGGGGCCAAGGGTTCAAGCCCCACATTGGGCAAAAGATTCCTGCATTGCTGGGAAATTGGACCAGATGACTGTCAGGGTCCCTTCCAACTTTACAATGCTATGCTTGTATGATGTGTAAATGGCCACCTTGCTCTCAAATCTTCTGCTTTGTGCGGTCAGAACTGGCAACTAGGTAGCTTACACAGTTTTATTTATTTATTTATTTATAAAAAATATTTATATATATAAATATTTATATACTGCTGTATCATAAAAATATATCACAGTGGTTTACACCAATAAAGAAACATAAAATGAACAAGAACATCATAAAAAGTTAAAAACAAAAAAAATTAAAAGCAAATTAATAACAAACATCAACAGACCATCATGGGGAGTGTACTCTTAATTGTCTGCATAGTGCTGGCAGAATAGAAAAGCTTTTAGCAAGTGTTTAAATGTTGGCACAGAAGAAGTTGGTCCGCTGAATCTTTTGGCAGGGTGTTCCACCAGACTGGGAAGATGACCCTAAAGGCTCGATTTCTTGTTGTTGTCAAATGACCCTCACCAACTCCTTTACATGTCTCTTCAAAAGTTGGTCTTGGTGCCTACTTTAGAGAAACTGGGTAGTGGGATTGCATCCTGAAGTACTCGGAGTTTGAAAACAAAAACCAGGGTTGGCCAAATACTCAGCTAAGCTCTACTCACTGTGCAGTTATCAGTTCCCCCAAATTATCCTGAGTGTAAAGATAGGTTTTATGAAATTCGCAAAAACAATGTTGTCATGCCCCCAAATCCTTTTAACGGGTAAGAAATTCCAGGGGTGGAAATGTTGCTGTGAAGCTATAGTAACATTTTAAAACATGAAATAAAAGCATTTAATTGAACTTTTATTTCATGCCACTTGAAAATATGGCATACGTGGAACGCGTCTTCCACATCCAGATAGATGCCTTGTGATCCGACTGAGAACAGGGAATGGTTCTGTGTGTGTGTGTGGTTTTAATTGTGCCCTTGGCAAAATATTTCGACGTTTGATTGACAGATTTAGCCTTTATTTATTTATTTTGTCAGTGATCAGTTTTAGTAAATGTAAAAATCGATTGGGCCTTTTCTTGGCCTCTTTCCAAGCTCTCAGTCCATTAAACTTGTGCTCTTCAATCAGGGCCTGTGGATGGCTAGTAATGCTGTTTGAATTGATTGTAAGCCCTGTGTGTGCACAAGCACAGTCTGAGCATGATGGGCTGCTCTCCCTGTTCAAGCTAATAGCTGTGATTTTATCGGGGCCCGAATAGCAGAGCCCTCTATTTTCTTGCATGTGCTCCCCCCCCCCCGTTTGCAGTTCACGCTTGCAACACAACACCATTAATCCATGTATTCTTAGTGAAAGGTAAATTTGATTCTGAATTAAAAACAAGAAAACAAAAAACATGTGACGCTTAAGACATCCTTTAGCGGGGAGGAATAAGGTATTGTGCTTTATGGCCACGTTTGCATAGCTTAGCAAGAACATGGGCTCCCAGGGTGGCAGCTAAGCCCCAGGGTTTGGCTTAGGGTGTTGTCTGAACCCCCAGCCTCATAGTTAAGCTCTCTCCTCCTTAACTGAGGGACCTAACCACCAATTGCCACTGCCATCTCCCCTGCAAGTTCACTTTGGTTTGCTTTGGTTTAATTTAATGTGATTTCCCATCTACACTAATAATACCAGAAATATTTGGCGCAATCTAGAGGTTGAAGATTTAGTAAATATATGTAGGGAAAGAGGCGCTACTTGAAATTAACAGGAGGGCACAACACTGGGAACCAGCAATTCCAAAGGAAAACCTGTGCACTCAGGCTACATGATTTGATTATTACATTTTAACCATTCTCCAAGCTTCAGAGGATCTGCTTGTAGTTCTATGCAACAGGGAGAACATCTGAACACACACACACACACACACACACACACACACACATGTCCATGTGGAATAGCTTTCAGAGCTGGCAGGTTTTCGCACATGAGGGCAACTAGCTTTAGAGTAAAAACAACAAGCACAAGCACAAGATGTCCCTGATTGTAGTTTGGAGCCTGTTGTTCTCAGCTAAGAGTTTTATAAATGAGGCTGATTGCATTCAACTAAATATGGAAGATGCTTATGGCCCTTGTGAATCATTGTACTCTATATAGTCCTAGTGTAGAACTTAGTGCTCCACAAATTGCCTTCCCTTGATATTGTATACTTAAAATCTTTGCTGGGCTACTGGATAAAGATGGCAGTGATACTTTATTGTGTATCTCTTTGCAGTCCCAATCAGCTACAATTTAGGCATAATTTTTATTTGGTGTGGGGGGAAGGGAACTCTTGTCATTCCATTAAGCATCATAGCTAAATCTCATTAGCGATGTGAGGCTATATAAGAATGTTTCGGGGGGGGGGGGACAACGACGGGGAACCTGAAGCTAGTTCAGAGTAAGGGTTATGCTTGTCAAGAAATTCTGCCCTCACTCTGAATTTGCTTCATTTGCTCTTAATGGTGTTCTTATTATTAAAATTGGCTGTGAGATGATGTCACTTTTACTAGGGACAAGGGGAAGTTTTCAAACCCAAAATGACTTGGAAGCCAATTAGCCTGCAAAGAGCAGCAAGCTAGGGGGTGGGGAAGCTTTGGGGAAATTTTCAATTGCCCTTGAACAATTTTGCTTTTATTAATGTTTGCTAGAAAACAAACCCCACTAGTGACTTCATTCGCTCCCCCATTTAGCCTGCTGCTGTCTTCTACAACTCACTTGCATTAATAAAACCATTCCCCCCCCCCCCCGGTCCCTGCTCAAAATCCCTCCTTCCTCTCTCTACCTGGCTTGAATTTAACTGCCTCCCCTTTCCCTCACGTGATGCCTAAAGGAGTGTTAAGCAACAATTAAATAGATAATTCCCTCTCTAATCACTTACATGAGTAAATTAGTCTTGTCAGGAGCTATTAAGACAGAGAGCTCGGAATTCATTAGGCTTCATTGGGCCTATGGAGCTTCTGGCATCGCTGCTAGTCCAGGCTGATTAATTTCCTTGAAAACACTATCAATGCCCATCTGTTTCATTTAGATCTTTGGAGAGCAATTTTCAGGTGGACTGACCCCCTCGTCAGTTATTTCACCCAGAAGTAATGACTGACACACACACACAGCCTACTGCAGTGTGAAGAGGAAACTCTCTGTGTTTGTGTATAAAAGTAAAATATTCATGCACACTTGTTCAAGACCTGCAGCCAAAATTTGGCTGATGGTTTAAAATTGATTAAGGGAAAGTTAAGTGTTGCCACCTCCCCTGCAGTTCCTCAGCATGTGAATCTCGGCTAGTCTTTCTCCCATCGTTGTCCAACCCCACTTCCTCTAGAGCCTAGAGACCATTCCCTCTCCTTTCCTAGTTTCTCCTGCTGCCCTTGACCTGCTGCCCTCTCCTGTGCTGAACAAACTCGTGGAGCCAACTAATTCTGGTTTTGTTCCCCATCCTCCTCCCTGCTGAGTTCTTCAAGGGCAAGGAGGAGACTGGCAGCCAGGGTCACTTCCAGGACAAGATGTAAGTAAGAAGACAGGCAGACTGAGGTTGGTGGGGCAGAGCCCCTTTTTCCCCAGGACAGTGGTGGCAAACCTATGGCATGCGTGCCAGAGGGGGCACTCAGAGCCATCTCTGTGGGCACACACGCCATCGCCCCAGCACAGAGTTACTATATGAAACTTCCAAATGTGACAAAAATGGCGAGTATCTTAAGTTATTTTTACAAACATTACCCTATTAAAAAAATGGAAGATAAAAATTAGATAAATGAGTCTAATGAACAGAACTGAAAAACATAATTAAAATCCAAGGATTTTGTAGAGTACCCATAGAAAACAGGTAAGCCTTTAAAACCCTCTTAAACATTGCAAGGGGTGAGGCTTGCCAGAAATATGTAGAATTTTTTTTTGGGGGGGGGGAGGAAAACCACTGATAGTGGGTGGGGAGAACTGAGGTGATAATGAGCTTAGCTTTTGCCTCTTATGACATACTAGCTAAAAGGGAGGGAGCTGAGGGAGAATCAACCTGCAGAGAGGCACACAAATTAAGAGCTACTCATTTAGACAGACAGCCTTGGAGAAGGTTATGTCTGTCCCGCGGTGTATGTAATTATTGTTGATCACTGAAGCATGTCCCTTCAAGACCGGATCTTAGGTTTAGTTATGCATAAGAGGGCTGCGAAGATAGGGAAGATGTACATAGATCTGATATCAGCACCAGTCCTGTTGCTTAACAACAAGGATGCTTGTGGTGAGCTTGATGCTACAATGTCATCCAGCCTCCACCCCCTTCACTGTACTTCACCCCCCCCTGCATTCACTTAGAGATTGTAAGCTCCTCAAGGCAGGGACTTTTAATCTGCAAAGCACCGTGCACATTGACAGAGCTACCTAAAAAACATTGGCATCTTATCTGGCAGACAAAGTCTGAAGACTCCATAAGCTTTGTAAGGTTTTCACAAAACCCTGTACAGATTGCAAATCTCCATGCATCTTCCCCTGCTACGTACTAATGAAACCTAATGTCTGCATGTGCACAGAAGATATTTAAAGCTAGAAGTGTGTAAGGCTAAAGAAATACTGCAGGCGACGTGATAATGAGGTACTAATTGGGCATCAACCATGTGCAAATTAAATGAAGCCCAGCGGAAGACTGGAAAGCTATAGCAAAGTCAACAGTTGGCTCACTACTGAACTACATTTGTTTACATTGGACACAGTTTGATACACAGTTAAATGCATTTAAAGGCCATTGATTTCAGCAGATTGAACAAGGGATGCTCAACTGTGCATTCTGGATTGTGTTCTGTGGATTTTGTTCTGTGTAATGTAGACTTTCCATTCTTAAGGAAATCAGCCCTGAGTGCTCACTGGAAGGACAGATTGTGAAGCTGAGGCTCCAATACTTTGGCCACCTCATGAGAAGAGAAGACTCCCTGGAAAAGACCCTGATGCTGGGAAATATGGAGGGCACAAGGAGAAGGGGACGACAGAGGATGAGATGGTTGGATAGTGTT